TTCTTTTTGTGGACTGTGATGGTCTGTTGTCTCCGAGGCATTGTTGCATTGCTGTATTTAGATCTCTGTTAACTGTTTGTGAAGAGCAGCCAAGGATGATTCAGGCTCTTCTTGGTGGTTTTTTATCGTTGGCCCATTGGTGGAGAAGGAGGTAGTGGCTCTCGCTCAGTAAACGAAGTTGCAGGAGGTGTGGGTTGTAGTTGTGTCTTATGGGGACTGTTGTTGTCTCCCACTCAATCAGACACAAATTACAATCGAATAACCTTTAAAAAACTTGTCAGTCTTGCAGGTCCTGAGTGTCTTTGGGGTTTCTGTAAAGCAAAACGTGTTCTTAAGCTCCAGGAATCTGTGAGAGTGCTGTCTATTTAAATATCCAAAATATTCAAGCCACTTTTTAAACCTTCAAAATGGTAGCACTCTCCAGACGGGCAAAAGTCCACAGCTCCAGGAATCTGTGAGAGCGCTGTCTCTTTAAATATCCAAAATAGTCAAGCCGCTTTTTAAACCTTCAAAATGGCAGCATCCTCCAGACGGGCAAAAGTCCACAGCTCAGCCCACCTTTCTCTTCACCTTCTCCATTTGTTCCCCAGCCACTGTGCACAGGGACTGTGCCTTTTTACTTGCTGACCTTGGGTTTGTCAGCCTCAGCAGCCAGCAGCTGCCTGAGTGAAGAAAGGCCTCTGGCTTCAGTGGGCCGGGAGCAGGAGGCAGAGCTGAAGCTCAAAATTGAGGTGCTTTCACCCAGCCCCTAGAGCCTGGCACTTTGAACTCAGACTTCAAGCCTCCATAATTGTGAGAGTAAACATCTGTTTGTTAAAGCCATCCCATTTGTAGTATATTTCTGTTATAGCACCTCCAGGTAACCAAAACACTGTTCATGGATAACCATCTCACTGAAAGATTTCCCACATTCGCTGCATATGTAGGGCTTCAGTCCAGTGTGGATTCTCTGATGAACCACAAGGTTGGAGCTATGACTGAATGTTTTGCCACACTCCTTACACTTATATGGCTTCTCTCCTGTGTGGATTCTCTCATGTACCATAAGATTTACACTCTGCCTAAAGGCTTTCCCACACTCATTACATATATATTTCTTTTGAGCCTGAATTGTCTTATTTGTTGCAGCATCTGAGCATTGACTACTATCTTCTTCAAATTTCTGGTCATTCACTTCTGTGAATGTTTTATTGTCCTTAACTGTCTTTTGTTTGAAATTTCTTGTCTTTCTCCTCATTTTCTCCTGCTTGGAGCATCCCAGTGGCCTCTTTAGTCTTCTCTCCCTTTTCAGAGGCTTTGTAAATCATGACTTCTGTGGCAACACCTATGTGGAATCTTCTCAGAAGTACAATGAGATTCTGATTCTTCAGGATTGATGCTTTGGAATCAAAACCTCTTCCATCCCAGTTTCACCATCTTCATTCCTGTGAACTGCAGCCTCATAGTAAAGGATCTGCCCAGCAGATTGTGCCTAATTTTCTGCTTGGATTCAGTGAGGAAGTTCCTACTAGGGTCTTGAATCACAAAAGCGCTGGACCCACATCTTGAAACAAAGCGGAGACGGAGTCACATCACCGACTCCCCACCACACCTCACCTCAGCTTCTGCCCTTCTAAGACCCCAAGTTTTACAGAATAGAATTGCTCCAAAGGGTTTTCTTGGCTATAATCTATATGTGAGTAGAAAAAAGTGAGTAGAGTGAGTAGAGGCCCATGTATTTTCAGATCAACAGGCCTTTTTCCAGTTGGAGACA